TTCATTAAAAATCTATGGTTCAAGGATTGTATAAGTCGAAAATCCGTTTGTAAGTTAATACCAAAAATTGAATTCTATATCATCTACGTAGAAAAAAAAACTTTTAATATTAAATTTTTTTTTTAAATGATCAAAATATTTAAATTTCTATGGAAATATTAATTTAGTTTGAAATTTGGTCTATGATTTTATCTAATTACTAAAAATAAATAAAAATTATAAATATAAAGATCAGATATACAGTAAGGAGTATTTTTCCTGACCTCATGGTTTTTTGGAATAAATCTCAAGAGTCAAGACTTGCATCAAACTCCAGTAGCCACGTGTGATGACGTTTCAATTTTTTGTTCGGCGACATATCTTCTACACAATACCTAAAAGATAAATATGCAACTAATATGTTTTTAATTTCCAAAAGAGACTCTAGAGAATTTAATATTTATACTCGACTTCTCTTCATTTGCCAAACCCACACACATACACAAATTTTTTTCAATATATAGAAGAATCTTCCATTTTGTAATCGAGTGTGAAACAAAAATGTGTTACAAAAATATTCTCCCTCTTGTTATTCCTCCCGAGAGCTTCCACGAAAACATTCCGGTGACAGAAGTGACGGTGGTGACGACGGAGGTGGAAGCCACCGCCGATGGTGGTGGTGGAAAGAAGAAGTGTGTGTGTTCACCATCGAAGCATCCAAGATCGTTTAAGTGTAGGTATCATCAACATGAATATCAATGGCTTCCTTCTTCTTCTTCATCATCCCTCCACAAATAACACATCATCATGTAATCAATAATTAATAGTAGTTTTATATGTTATTATTCATGTTTTTTTTTTTGTTATAGTGTTTTAATCAAAGTATATTGTGTTTTCGATTCGTTGAATATTTATATGACGATGTTGTTTGATTCATAAGTTTTAATAATCGGTAGAAATCGTTTTAGAGGCTAAACCGCTAAAGAATACGTGGTTACTAATTTAATATGGTTTCTGTATATATACTTATTAAAAGCGGTTCACACAAGTCACAACAAAGATTGGTGTTACGTGACTGACTAATCGACCTTTAAGCATCAAATATACAATTATGAAGGAATTTATTTTTAAGAAACAATCATCAAATAATCAATGTGCTTTGAATCGAGACATGTGAATGTATAAATATTTGGAAAAAATACAAACCCATAAGATATCAAGTTCGACATACTAGTCACTTTTCAAAGATCTTGTTATCTGACCTCTAACCAATGTCTATGTGCAAGAAAATACAAGGAAAATTGTGTTTTGGTTTGGTAGGAGAAGATGTGATTAAGGGCAAGATTAGTTTTATTCGTAGTTTCAATATTTGTCTTCCATGTTTCAAGAGAAGTTCTTTGAAGTGAACGTTTTTAGAAGAAAAGTAAACAAACATACAAAAAAAATTAGAGCGACTACTACAACATAACAGCCTTTTCAATATTTTATAACTAGAGCAGTTTATAAATTAAAATAAATAGATTATCTATGTTACATCAATTTTTCATTAGTTTGAAAGATTGATCTATCTACCAACGATATAAAATGTGCGCGAGCTGCATAGGGAAAGTTAAGCTAATTTCATAGCACATATTTCCACAGATGGTAAAAAAAACAAAATTATTGAATTTTTTATTAAAAACTATAACAAAACAAAAAAAAAAGCATTGGAGCAGAGCAGCTAATCCAGTTTTCACTAATTAAGATTACTATTTAAACTTTAAAAAAATTGGTTCGCTCGCATATTTTCCTTAATTAATGGGCTTACAATTTAAGGCCCATACTTGACCATGACCTGGCTTTTATGTTAGCAGTTAAGAGAGAGAAACAAAAGGTAGATAGAGAAAAAGCCAAAAGTTGAAGTTGCAGTTGCAGAGAATAAACGCAACTGTGCAATTAAAGCGAATGT